CACCTCCTTCACATCCCCTCAACGTTCGTTTTTCATGTTCGTGCCTGTTGTTCCCCCAATTCCGTTGCAAGCAGTAATTACCATACCCCTCCGCTCCCACAGTGGGGCTGTCTGGTTTTCGCGGCCCCCAAGAACCCCGCCGACGGCGAGCCTGTCAAGCAGCAGCAGGATGCCATCGCAAGGGAGTGCAGTTCCCTCATCGCGACCAAGCTACGGGAGTTGATGTCATTGGGAAAAGAGGGGTTGAAAAAGGAGGAGATGCCCAATGCATCGCGGGATGCGGACCTGATGAAGCGAGTCGGGGAATTGTGGGATGATCCGAAATTTCAGGGGCATTCGCTTTCCCCTGGGCCGAAGGGCAAGAGCTCCGCGGTCGCGGAGACTCCGACGCCCAAGGTAATCAAGCAGGACGCAGACGGGAGGGCTTTGACCGCACACGAGACAGTGCTTTTCGCAGCACTGAACCTCGAACAAATCGACACCATTCCATGGCAAGAGTGGGCGAGCAAAGCCTGCGCCCAGGACAACGCGCAGGTTGCCAAGCAGGCACTGGGGTTAGCCATGGCGGCAAACCATAACCACGTGACATGCGACATCCCTATCGCGATGGTCAGGACTGGCTCTGTGATCAAGGCCTTGGCAACGAAAGACATTCCCATTGGGCACCTGAAGGTGCCATTGTGGTTCAAGAAGGACACTTCCATGGTCATGGAAGGGACGGGCGCGGTCATCCACCCGAAAACCGCGTGCGCTGAGGTGTCGCGGGTTAAGGCCCTCACCGACCTAGAGAAAGAAGCTGGCGTCGAAACCCGGGAAAAGGTGGTCGTGATGATCCACGCGCAGCCTGAGATCAATTTCCCAAAGGAAGGTGACAAAGGGTTCGTGTGGGGTCCGCGGGATTCAGCCCACCCGTTCTGGTTCATGAAGCGGTCGGACCAGGCGACGCGAACTCCAGGTCAAGCGCAGATCGCGGCGAACGCCTCCATGGTGGTGGAGACGATGACACACGTTTGCGCGAGTGATTATGTTCATCTGAGTACTGCCAAGGCCGAGGTGGATTCCCTGGTGTGCACGTAGTCAGTCAAGCTGCCATTCATCGTCAGCACGGCCCCAATCATGGCGGGGGATGAGGCTACCGTAAAGTGGGAAAGCGCTCCAACGGCGAAGAAACAGAAAGCCACGACGCAGCAAACTGCCTCCGACCAGATCGCGGGGGCCCAGAAGAAGGCGCGGAGGGAGAAACGGTGAGTAATTACTTAATTACGTCGGGTCTTGATCCGCGGTGGCGGGGCGATCGACCATATTGATGTGTTCCGAGGCAGAGAGCGCCTCGCGCAGACACAGTCTGTCGAGTCGCTCCGATCATTCGTCCTGCTCCTTTCTGCTCCCTGCTTCCTCAGCCGTCCTGGTCGTCGTTTCCTGCTTCCTGCTTCCTGCTCCTTTCTGCTTCCTGCTTCCTCAGCCGACGACGACGACGACGACGACGACGACGACGACGACGCCCTCCTCCTGTCTGCTTTCTGGCGCCCTCCTGCCCCTGCGCTCTCATCCTCCCGCAGCCGCGCAGACTCGTGCCCCTCTGTCCCATCTTCGTGGTGGCGGAGTGGGGGGGGAGAGCATGGCGAGCGAATCTCCGCGTTCGAAACGCCCAAAATTGACCTGCGTTGAGGCGAGTTCGACGCAGAGTTCGTCGCCCCGCCGCCAGAGGCGACGCAGCCCGCCGAGCAGCCCGCCAGAGGGCCAGCACCGCCTGAATGCGCAACTCGCGGCGCGAGCCGAGTCGGCTCCGCCGGCCGAGCCAAAGCGGCCGAGGGCGCAGCTCCTGGCGCGCCAGGACAAGGACAAGGGCCAGAAGGACATGGAGGAGGAGAAATCCGCGGTAGCGGAGAAGGACAAGAACAAGGACGGCAAGAAGGAGAAGAAGGAGAGGAAGGAAAAGGAGAGGGAGACATCCGCGGTAGCGGAGGAGGGCAGCAAGGACAGGAAGGACAAGGAGAATAAGTAGGCGCCGCAGGAGGCGCAGGAGCAAGCGGTAAAGACGCGGCGTCTGCCCAAGAAGGAGAGGGAGCGGACGAGGCGGAAGGAGGCGCAGGAGCAGGCGCAGGGGCAAGCGGAAAAGACGAGGCGCCCGCCCAAGGAGGAGAGGGAGCGGAAGAAGAGGCGGGAGGAGGCGCCGAAGGAGGCGCCGAAGGAGCGTCCGCCGAGGCTCGCGCCCAAGGGGGCCACGGAGAAATCCGCGGTAGCGGAGAAGGGGCGCCCGCCGAAGCTCGCGCCCAAGGGGGCCGACTCGGACTCGTGCACGTGCCACTCGAGCTCGGACGAAGAAGCGGGCGCGGCAGCACCGGCGGCAGCGGCGGTGCCGGGCCGCGGGCTTGCGCCAGGCTGCTCGCGTGGGGCCCCTCCGCCGCGCGGCGCCATGGTGGCAGCAGCCAGCGGCGCCAGCGGCGCCGAGACTGTCGCGCGGGGACTGCAGCAGGTAGCGGCCTCAGCCGCATCAGCCAGTCAGCCGCGCAAGCCAGCCGCGCCAGCCTCAGAAGGAGCCGCGGTTGCGGCGGCGTCTCCACGCGATGGAGCCGCGGTGGCGGGGGAGCGGAGGAAGAGCAGCAGCAGCAGCAGCAGCGCGGGCGAAGAAGCGGGCGCGGCAGCGCCACCTGCACAACCCGGGAGCCAATGGTCGGTAACGGAACGCGCCGACGCTCTCGGAGTGCCCGCCCCCCCACCAGCTGCGCGGGCACAGCCCCAAGAGTGCTGGACTGGGAGCGCTTGGAGTGCTTGGGCCCACCAGCAGCAGGAGGCGCAGCGGCAATGGTTTGCTTGGGACTACCAGCAGCAGGAGGCGCAGCGGCAGTGGCAGGCCACGCAGAGTTCGGAACAGCAGAGATTTGCGGTCGCGGAGGGGGCCCCTGGCGGGCTCCGAGAACGGCTGTGGCCAGGCTCAGCGCGCGTACGTGGACGTTGCCGAACGGGCCAACATCCCTGAGATCGCAAGCGACCTGCGCCGCCAGGGTCTTCATTTGCTCCTGGTGCGGTGCTCTGGAGTAGAGCAGAGGAAAGAGCTGCGCGATCTGCTCGCCGCTGCTGGCGCGGAGCCTTCCGCGGGTCAGGGGGCCTGTGGTAACGGGGGCCAGGCGCGTGCAGAGGTACGCTTCCTCTGCGAGTCACACGGGCCGTTTGTACTGGCAGGGCGGGATGGGTACGTGTCAGAGGTAATGGTGCACCAGTTTCTCACCCTGCCAGCCGTCGGCCAGATTGCGATTGCAGAGTTTTCCCTGTCCGGGGCCCTCCAGCAGATGACGTCCATCAAGGTGGCCGCGGTGAGTCTGACCTCGGCTTCGGAAGTGCCAGGATCCGCGGTGGCGGAGCAGTGGCAGAAGGTCCTGGACGCTATTGCGCGCAAGTCAGTCCGATTCGTGGCTGGTCACTTCGCGAACCAGCTGGACGTGCTCCTCACAGCGTCGCGCGTATGCCTGCAGGTGAGATCATGCGCCACTGTGCAGTACGACGCTCGCGCCGAACCTCACGAGGCAACCGCTATGTTCATAGTGGGGCCTGTCGGCAACGTGGAGGGGCGGCTTGGGAGCGATGGCTACGCTATCACCCGCGGTGACGGGGAAGTGCCCCCCGAGGTCGAGGCGCAGATCGAGCACGTCAGAAAGGTGGTGCTCGAGCGTCCGCGCAGCGGCGGCGCGACGAAGGACAGGTCGCGAGGCTGGCCTACCATTCGGAGCACGAAGGAGAAGCAGCCGCAGCATGTCCTAGAGCACACGAGAAAGATTAACTTGTTTTTCGGATCCAATGCGTCCCGCCGCACCCGTGAGAAGGAGTGTCGGCGCGAGGCGAATCGCGAGCAGCGCGCGGAGAAGTGGGAGAAGCGAACTGGCAAGCAGCAGTCCTGGTGCAGGTGGTGACGTACCCGCGGTGGCGGGGGAAGTTTACTTACCCGCGGTCGCGGTGACGTATGAGTAAGAGGCAACGACTCTGTGCAGTGACCCGCGGTCGCGGGGCCTCGGCGGACGCGCGCGCGCTCTTCGAGGCGCAAAAAAAGTGGAGCAGGACAGCTGGGAGGATCTTGGCCCACTACTCTTACTCTTCTTCTCGCTACCATTCAAATTCTTACTCGTACTCCGTCTCCTACTCTTACTCGTACTCTTACTCTTACTCTTCCTATCACTCTCCTCTCCCGCTCCTTCTCGCACTTTTTTCTGATTCCTACTATTACTCCTTCTCTTGCTCCCATTCTTACTCTTACTCTCACTCTTACTCTTGCTCTTACTCCCCGCTCTTACTCTTACTCTTACCCTGACTCTCACTCTGACTCTTACCCTCGCCCGCAAGAGAAAGACCACGACGGCGACAACGACGGCGACGACGCCGACAAGGACGGACGACGACGACGACGGCAGCGACGACGACGACGAAGACGACGGCGACAACAACGGCGACGACGCCGACGAGGACGACGACGACGACAACGGTAGCGACGACGACGAGGGCGGATGCCAGAGCGCTTTCCAGCTCGAGATTTACATATCCCACATGTTGGCTCTGGAGCAGACGGGGTTTTACGACGATGAGGAAACGATTGCCGCCCGAGATAGGGAGGCCTTCATTCGGGTTGCTGTTGTCCATGCCCAGACTTGTTCGTGGGCTTGGCGAATGGCGCCGCGATATCGGAACGTGTTCGCCCTCGTCCTCTCAACCCTATTCCCAGGAGGATTCGTTATTCCCGATTGGGGTCGAGTGCTTTGGCGGCGCGCATTGGCGAATGCGATCATTGACCCAGATCGCGTCGCTTCCTCAGACAGTGACAGCGACGCCGAGACGAATTAGGATTCCGGGCGACGCGGCGGCGGCGACGACGATTCTGTTCTACTCCGACGCAGACACGTGGGCTCAAGAGCAACTTCTCGCGGGGGGGGGGCTCTGGACGCTCGCGCGGAGCTTCGGCGAGTGCACGACAAACGGGCCAACACCCGAGGCCCCAGGGCGCGGTCGGCAAGGCGCCGCGCCTGGGCTCCAGTCGGCGACTTGGCGACCTGGGCCGAGGGCCCCGAAGAAGACGCGATGGCGGCGACAGGAGGTCAGCCGCCAGGGCTGGAGGAAGGTGCAGCCACGGTGGCGGCGGGAGGTGGTGCTCAAGCCGCGGTGGCGGCGTCGCGAGCAGACTTGGACGCGCTGCCCGTGGCGCAGTCGTTCAAGCTGAACAGCATCGCTCTGAAGTGGGTCAGGGACACCGCAGAGAACCCCCCAGGGTTTCCAGTGACCCCGTGCGCCGACATCACCGACTCGGACCCTATGTACGTAGGCGTGCTCGAGCGCACCACGGGAATGGCATGCAGCTTTAGGGGGGGCGGAGAGACGCAGCCATGGTCATGGCGGCAGACGTTGGCAGCGCCGAAGCCAGACGTGAAGGACAAGGCTCTGGGATCTGATCCCGCGGTGGGTATCGCGCGCATCATGTGCCAGACCGTCGCCGCGCACGACCACAAGCGCTGGCGCGCCGCGCTTCACGTGGGAAGGCCATTCGACAAAGGTGCTCCCGTTCCCGCGTGGGACTTCCACGTGTACCGCGCCGACAACGTCGTCACGAGGTTCCACGCAAGCCTGGCGAACAACAGAGTGGAGGTTGCCACCGTCGGAAGTGGCCTCGTCCTGCCTCGCCCGCCAGCGGCGGAGAAGGGCAAGTCAGATGGTCCAGGCACGTACAGGGCAAAGACTGCAGGGAACTACGACGCCTCGTACCGCGGCACTGGGGTCGCGGCGCAGGCCGACGCCGAGGGATCCGCGGTGGCGGAGCCAGGGGATGCCCAGCAAGAAGCAACCGCGCAGGCCGCCGCGTCGGGGCCTGCGTCGCACGCCGCTGCGGGAGAAGGGGCTGAGCAGGCAGACTGGTGGGGGGTCCTAGAGCCCGCCTGGTGGGAGGCGAAGCAGGAGCGCACCTCGGCCGCGGGTGGTGCGTCGAGCGGCGCAGAGTGGTGGAGCGGCGCAGACTGGTGGAGCAAGGGGGAGTGGAAGGACAGCGGCGGAGACTGGAAGGACAGCAGCGACAACAAGTGGTCCCGCGGCGGAGACTGGAAGGACAGGGGCCATGGCAATGGCCAGGGTGGCGCCAGCAGTTCCGCCGCAGGCGGGGCAGCTTCGGCAGCCGAGGCTTCCACGGAGGAGAAGGAGCAGTCGAAGAAGTGGGGGTGGTGGCAGTGAGGGCGCCTGAGCATATTCTCCGCGGTGGCGGCGTCGTAGAAACACAGGCGGTGGCGAGGGCCGTGTCCGAGCATCCGTGCGAGGGCGTCACGCGCGGCGCGACAATGTTCTCCCCGGGTGCCCCCCGTGCCTCACTTTCGCTTCCCTCCTCTACCTCTCCCTCCCTCTCGCAGTGCGACTTTCCTGTATTCGCCCTTTGTCTCGGCCTCCATTTCCTCGATATGTCTCCTCCTCCCTGTGCGTCCAGCTGCGCTCTCCCCCTGCGTCCGTCTCCAGAGGCCCCGCCTGACAACCATCGCATGGCGATGGTTGCCAGCCTCTGCGGGTGACATCCATCGCCCGGCGATGGTTGTCAGGCTCTTGGGGTGACAAGCATCGCCTGGCGATGGTTGTCACATGGTGTCCTCCCCTCGCCCCCCCACCAGAGACTCGAGCTCGAGCTGAAGTTTCCGCGGTGGCGGATCCGGTGGGGTCTGCGCGGTTGCGGCGTTTTTGAGCAATGTCAGTGGTCGACCTGGCAAAGTTCAAGCTTGTCGAGTTTCAGTTCGGTCAGGTTCACGTGCGCGGAGGGCGCAATGCAAAGCTTGCGCCACTGACCTCGAAGACCGTTCGCTCCAAGGACGGGGCGGTTGAGGACACATTCGTGAAGTTGGCGTTCACAGACAATTGGCCGATCGGCCTCACAACGGGCCAGACGAAGTACTCCCAGAGTTCGATTGGTCGCACCGCCATACTCACCGACCTGCGTACCCACGTGGAGAAACTCTGCGACGGTGAAGAGGCGCCAGAGTCCGCAGACGGGCAGGAGGTCAACGTCAAGGGGGACGACTACGACCCGATGGCCGAGATCGATCAGAGCAGCTCTGGCGCCCCTGGAGGCACCAAGGTGGCGGCGATCCCAGGTGTCAAGCGAGCCCGCTACTACCACTGCAAGAACACCGTGGTTTCGGTGAGCATGCCCGCGCGGTGCCCCGAGGAGGATCCAAAGTGCACCGAGCTCCGCAAGATCAAGCTCTTCATCGAGGATCGCAAGCAGATCTGGCTCCATTTGGATGATCTGCTCTGGGCGGTGTAGTACTTATACGTGCAGAACATGCTGAAAGGCGCCCCGCTCGTTTCTCCCGGCTCGGCAGGGCCAGGCGGCGCTTAGAGACACCATGGTAATGGTTCGGGGGATCAGGGGGATCTCCGAAGAGACCACCAAGGACAGCCAGTCATTCCTAGAATGCGTCAGTGCGTGAGTCAGGGTTTAGTCACGCACGCGGCTCCATGGTTATGGAGGGCAGGGTTTGCCACACCCGGGACGTCTTCAAACTGCAGTGACACATGGCTGGGCCCTTGTAGTTCCAGCGGACACAAGCACAGCTCGAATGCCTCATCCGAAGCGCGCGCGATGAAAGACGCCTCCCGCTCATGCCTGGCGGGCATCCTCCTCCGAGCTCTCCCTTCCATCATATCCCTCCGTCATCGTCGCTATTTCGTCCTGTCGTTACTCTCTAGCTTATCCTTACTGTTTTCTCTCATTCTAACTCACACTCTCAATCGCACTCTCCATATTTCTGTTAGTCTTACTCTTGCTTCTACTTTTTCTAATCTTCTTATTCCTACTCTTACTCTTATTCTTATTCGTAATTACTCTTGCCCTGACTCTTACACGTACTCGCACTCCTACTCTTACTCGTACTCTTACTCGTACTTTTCATATTACTCTTACTCGTACACTTACTCTGTGCTTAAGTCCTGCTGCTACTGTTACTCTGACTCTTACTCCTCTAACTCTTACTCTTTCTCGTACTCCTCCTTCTCGTGCTGTAAGGGCGCTTATGCTTGCATTCCTCATGCTATTTTGTCTCGGGACCATGTCCGCAGCGCGACTTCGCTGCGGCGGCGGCGCAACTCGCGGTGGCGAGGCGCGCGTGCGCGAGCGCCCATGTCCGAGCAGGCTGACCAGCCCACCATTGAAACGGTAGCAAAACATGTCGGGGAATTCCACGTGATTGACGAAGCTGGGAAAATCTTGAAGGCCAAATGGGAGCACAAACCTTCGATCCCGACGGAGCGCCCGCTTGGGGTACACGGCTGGGCTTCCTATTGCTGGTCTGGCTCAGCGGCGTGGGCGAGCGCCTCCGTTTGCACGTGTGCGCCGCCACCCCGTGCTTGTCCAAATGCCCGCCGTCTAAGTATGGATCGTCGCTGCCCCCTCCTCGCCACGCACGTGCGGCTCCTAGACAGTCAAGGCAGTCCCCTCGATTCACCACCAGTGGCGGAGTCGGCGCTTGGAGGGCCACCCGTGGCACTCGAGGCGCCGCCTGCTTCCGCGGTAGCGGAGTCGGCGCCACCTGCTTTCGCGGTAGCTGAGTCGGCGCCACCTGCTTCCGCGGTAGCGGAGCCGGCGCCCGAAGCAGCAGCGCCTCCGCCACCGCCACAGCCACCTCTGCCACCCCCACCGGCGGCACCTCTGCCACCACCCAGCGGCGCCCGAAGCGCCAGCACCAGCAGCGCAACACCCAGCACCTCCGCCAGAACCACATCCATCTCTGCCTCCGCCACCTCTGCCACCCCCAGTGGCGGAGGAGGCGCCGCCCCCGCGACAATCGCAGCCATCTCTGCCAGCCCGAGTGGCGGACACAGCAGCGGTGGCTCCCGCGCCACCGCCTGCTGTTACGTCCGCATCCGCAGCAAACGTCGTGCCGCCTGAAAGGGCTACGTTGTTGCCCATTCCCTGTGCCGCGCCTAGGCCACCAGAAGAGACGGCAGCGGTCGCGCCAGCGAAGGCCCGTCCACTGAAGCGACCCGCGGTTGCGGGGCTTGACGTCGATGCCATAGACGTGGATGCCATCGACAATCTCGTCGCAGGCAGTGGGCTGTACGACGGGGTGGTAGCAGGAGATGCAAATAAGTTCGCATGCCCAATGGACGGGGCGCGCGCACACATCGGAATCTCAATGTTCGTGATTTCTGCGTTGCGTTACCGGCGGCGCGTCTTTCTTTGGTTCGGGGACATATGTGAATACGCATTGCTCAAGTATGCTCCGTGGGCCAATCATGCTGTGAGTGTGGTTGCAAAATGCCATGCTGTCTCCTGTGTGTTTGAAGATGGTGGCTCAATCCGTGGTTGGGGTGACGAGGCCATGCTTGCCAATCATTGGGTGGCGGGTTTCCCGCTCGATGGTGGCTCCAGGGTTTTGGAGGACAGCTTGGCCGACAGCGCGTGCGAGCAGACCCGCTTCTTCTATGCGCAGTATCTGTCCCACTCCGCGCAGCTCGTGGCAACAGTTGCGGATGGAGATTGTGGCCTCGACGTGATGCGTTGCATGCTCGGCTGGAACCGCAGCAGCGTGAACCGGAGCGTTCTGCGTTGCGAGTTGCGCGCCTAAATTCTCCAGCACGCGGGCAATCGAGCTTTCGTGGCGATGCTTCGTGTCTCGGGGGGGATCAGGGGGCATTTGGGGCTCTACGAGCTAGATGCTGCGGGCGCGGCTTTGGTCGGGGCGCGCGGGGTGGGGCGTCGCCATGGTTATGGCGTCGCAGCGGGCGCCCTTGTTGAGGGGCCGACGCAAGCAGAGAGGCACTACAGCGAAGTGGAGGTGCTGGCCCTCAGGCAGAAATGTCAGCTGCGCACGGCGGGGCGGGAGATCATTGTCGACATGCTCAAACGCCTGCCCGACGAGTGCGCGAATGCCATTGTTCGTGAGTGCGCGCCCCGAGGCAAAGGGAAGGAGAAAACCACGCAACGGGCGGACACGTTTTTGTTGAATCGCGACGCACCCTCGTTCATAAACGAAAGGCCGTGGAATACTTTATGGCATGGATGGTGGACCACCGAGGGCCTTTGAACGAAAAGACCGCGCAGGGATTGCAGCGCGGCTGCTGGCCGAACGGTCAGTTTAAGGCGTTTGCCAAGGAGCGCCCCACCCTCGCCAAGGCCGCGTCTCTTGTCTCGACCCGAGGAAAAAAGGTCGGCGAGGCGACGTCTGTTGTCTCGAACAGACAAGCGTACGTACGACTATTCATGCGATACCAGCGCACAGTGAAAAGTATCCTGACATCCGCGGTGGCGGGGCCCGTTGATCACCCTGCGGGCGCCTTGAAGAAGCCGGGGGCCCCGCCGGGCAAGCGCTACAGGAAAAGTACAGGAAAGGTGCCGACCGTGCCGTTCGGGACCACAACCGACGTAGAAGCATTGGCGGTGGCATGCGCCGAGCGCGCCAACCCGTGCGAGAACAGTTGGCCGAATGGTGCAGCATCATGCGGCACAGCTTTGACGTGAAGGTCATGTGCCGTTTCCCAAAGAAGGTCTTGTTGACGAAAGCGCTTCAAATACAACAAGAGTACTACGTGGCCCACATGCAAAGGGGGGGCGAACTTCAGACCGCGCAGATCAACCAGAGGTGGCTGGGTGAATTCATGAGGGGGTGCCGAATTTCCTCGCGGAGGCCGAATCGTAAATTCAAAGTGCCGCGCGTGGTCTTGGCGGAACGCCTGTCCATTTTCTGGGTCGTCGCGTCGAGACTACGGAAGCTGGTCATGCCGCATCATGATTACGACCCAGAAATGCGGAACGTCGACCAATCTCCATTCCACATGAACGAGGCGGGAAGCTGCGAGTGGAACGCACTTACATCCCAGAACGCGGTCACCGCGCCCTTGATCGAAACCCGTGCGGCGACAAGGGGGCGCTGGAGCTTGAATTCGGTTACGGATTCTTGTCGAGAAAGGATTGCCCGAGAAGTGCCAGGTTGCGAATTGATGTTCAAGGCAGAGGGTAAAGTGCTGGAGGGCAAGTTGAAAGCACACGCGGCATCTAGACACTTGCCCTTCAAGTTCTCCGTGGCGACGGGGCCGAGCGGTTCGCACCGAGAGCGCGACATCTTGAATCATTTGGCTCCGCCGTGTGCCGCAGTGGGCCCTCCGTTCTGCCCCCCCCCCCCCATCCTGTCCTCCCCCTCTCCTATTCAATATGTCCACCTCCCTCCTCTACTCCCCCCTCCCCCCCCTGC